CAACGAAATTGGTAAAAGGTCTATATAACAAGGCATACTCCAAAAGACTGCAAATATTGGGACTGTACTCATCCCAGTACCGCCGACTTCGAAGGGACTTATGTTGGTATATCACATACTGCATGAACCCAACCACCCTTGCCGTTCTACGCTGACTTTATCTCATAATGATCACCTCAGGGGACATCCAGTGAAGGTGAAGATCCAGAACAGCCACCTTGATTGCCGGCATCACTCGTTTGCAGTCAGTGTGCGGCGTATGGAGTTCTCTTCTATCTGATGTAGTGTGTGCTCCTACAGTTGAACAATTTAAATCGCAACTTGATAAAGCATTGAAACACTTAAAATTTCAACATCCGTGAGTGATCATGCACATTATTATCATTGTTATTTTCTCTTTGTGAAGTTATTCAAAATATTCATGATATGCTTTAGCTTTGTTAAATCACCCATAATAAAACTTTGACTTTGTTTTAAGATGAATCGAGCTCTGTGGTTGTGCACTTTTCTATCTATGTAAACTTGAATCCAGTTCAGATAGCGTCTCCTAAATGTTCACCTTAAATTTTTGTCACAAGAATATTAGAGCTAATATCCTACTGAAAACATACAAATCAGACTGAAATCACCTCCCAGTTCATTTGTCTGGTGTGCCTTTCCACAGGTTTACAGTATGTGTCATGGTCATTTCGGTCTCACGACTCACAACTCATTTGTTTGATAAAACTAGTACCTTTATCTTGTTCGGTAGATTACCGTGAATTGCTCGATTTCGATTGGTTTTAAGGCTTATTTCGCAAGGACATGTTCCTCTATTAGACCTCGCAGCTGTGTCGATCTATCGCAACCGTGCCATCATATCGACTCAGCTCGTGTACACCGCATTTTGTCCGTAATCTGGGTCATGCTATCTGTCCGACTGGTGAACAGACAGGCGCCTCGTCTGGGCGATCGATACTGTTTGAATTGCGCTGGTCACGTGGTTTGCACTGGTACAGCAAACCTGACTGGCGAACGCGTCATCAATAGGAGTAGCCCAATGTTTTTAACATAGCATATGAGACTAAAGCGTGTCCATACTACTGACAGACGTTGAACGACTAGGGGCTTTTCCACTGTTAAATTTAAAATCGTGCCTAATGTACAGTCCGTCGAAATTCTATGCACACATGTTATGTAGTTCCTAAACTGCTTTTGCGCTTGAGTTGTCATCTATGAGTCAGTTATTGACTTGCGGTACTCTGTCGTTATCCTGCCGCACTGAGCGGAGATATGCTTCCAAAGGTGTTATTACTTGGTAATTTAATGTGATGGATCTTGTTCCGGCATTCACGACCTAATTGGTCACAAGCCTCGTCCATCTGTGTATATTGAATGTGCCATATTGACTAGTAAGATGTGCGGTGTGCAGTGTGTGTGTGTGTGTGTGTGTGTGATGCAGTGTGCTTTCTTCCTATATAAGCTACTCGTCTTCCGTTTACAGATCGACTCTCTGGTACTCACCGAAATAAACACAGTAAGGGTGTTCGTTAACGGACAATATGTTTAAGGAATGAACCAACGCTCATGATAGTGAAATAGTACAGTGGGATCTATATCCAAACACTTGCATACAGCCGTTAACCAAGGACACTTAGAATCCGTCACAACACAAGACATAACTAGTGAGCACTAAGTATTGAGCTAATACGTGCTACCTGAGTTGCTTCAGCTGTGAGCGACTCAGTGGTTGTTATTTAACCCTTAGCGTATTCATTCATCTCCTTTATTTCCTTTTAGTCTCCATATGGTTACACGCATAATCTTTACTTTTGAATTTTTTTCTTTTTCGACTTGTTTTCTTCTCGCTTCACTCCCAGTTCGTAGCATTCTGGTCAATTATTTTATTCTGGTGGTGGTGCATTCCAAAAGATTTTAGTTGTCTTGAAGGAAAGCTCCATTCAATCATTCTACCGTTTTCTTATTCAAAAGCGAGCCGTAAATGTTCTTTCATCACAAACCAATGCTCTAAA